AGGTCTGCGCACGTCGGGGACGCCCGGGGGTGGTCCCGGAGCCCTGGGGGAGGGGCGCGTCGGGCCGAGGTCGGGCATCGACTGGCCCTGCCTGGCGCAGCCCCGGCCCCTGCGGCGGACTGCGGTGCTCATCAGACCTGAGCAGTCGCTCGGCCTGCGCTCGGGGAGGGAGCCAGGTGAGCCGCCTGGGAAGGCGGGGCGCGGTGGTGTGGGGATGCTTAGCACCGCAGTTTCCCGGATCCCTTCCTGTTCTGCGCAAATCCGGAGGAAGGGAAAAGGGGTGTAGGTGGGAGGGGGAATCGGGCTGGAGAGAGACAGGGTCGGGAGAACGACCGTTCCTTTGGGGGAGAGGCACGTGTACCCGAGTGTGTGTGTGCGTGCGTGTGCGTGTGTGTGTGTGCTGCACGGTTGCACGTTGTGTCTATGTACCTGCAGGCTTGTGCTTGTTTGTCCCGTGGAGTCAGCTCTCTGTTCTATGCCCAGAGAGTGTGCAGGTCCGTCCTGCCTGGGTTTGGACCTTGGGCCCGGCCATTTGCGTCCTTGCCTTCACCACTGTGGGTCAATCTCCATTTGTGTTTCGTGCATGGTTTATTGTTTCTGAAACGTAAATTCCCGGAGGAATTATTAAACGTGTCTGCTCTCACCTGGCTACTAACATCGAGGCTCGCCCCCTTCTCTCGGCAGCCTGGGGCCGAGGCCAGGGCCACTATGGCGCTACCTCCTGAGCCAGCTACCCTCCCGCACACACTGCTGCTCCTGCCAGCCCTTCTGAGTTCAGGTACACTCCTGTTCATCCCTTGGCCATGCATTTCTGGGGTCAAATCCCCCTCTCTCCCCTCCTTGCTTGCACCTTCGGTTTGGGTACCCACTCTAGGCCCCAGGCACCAGAGCTGGGTTCCCCTCATCCACCTACTCAGGGTCCAGCCAGTCCCTGCTGAGAGAACCCAGGTACTCTGTCTCTTGGCTTGCTGTCCCACTGTAACGACCTCATCCTGGTCACAGAACAGTACCAAGCTGCCACAACCCTCACCAGAACCTGCTGTGTTCCAGGTTGGGGGGAGTTGGCGCCCCAGATTGATGGTCAGACCTGGGCTGAGCAGACACTTCGAGAGAATGAACGCCACGCCTTCACCTGCCGGGTGGCAGGGGGGCCTGGCACCCCCCAATTATCCTGGTACCTGGATGGACAGCTGCAGGAGGCCAGCACCTCAAGACTGCTGAGCGTGGGCGGGGAGGCCTTCTCTGGAGGCACCAGCACTTTCACTGTCACTGCCCAGCGGGCCCAGCATGAGCTCAACTGCTCCCTGCAGGATCCGGGCAGCGGCCGGTCAGCCAACGCCTCTGTCATCCTCAATGTGCAATGTGAGTGACCCCGAGGGGGACTGGGGGAAAGGTTCTCTGTGCAGGGACCCCCGGCAGCCACCACACAGGTGGTCTGATAGGGCATTTAACAAACACCTAAGCACTTTGTAAATATTAACTCACTTTATCCTCACAGTAATCCTGGGAGGTAATTACTATTGTCCCATTTTACAAATGAGAAAACTGAGGCACAGAGAGGTTAAGCAATCTGCCTGAGGCCATATAGCTGGTAAGTAGCAGGGCCAGGATTCAAATCTGGACATTTTGTTTCTTAATCTTCGTTTATACAAAACAGTTGCCTCTCTGGTAGACCCAGCTATGCTGTTTCCTGGTGCCACCCAGGAAAGGTCCAGGCCCCTGGCTCCCTTCTGGATTTGGGAAGAAAGGGCAAGGTCGAGGGGGAAGGGGCTGTGGTGGGAACATACTGGTCTCTGCTTTGCACCAGTTAAGCCGGAGATTGCCCAGGTTGGGGCCAAGTACCAGGAAGCTCAGGGCCCGGGCCTCCTGGTCGTCCTTTTTGCCCTGGTGCGTGCCAACCCACCTGCCAACGTGACCTGGATCGACCAGGATGGGCCGGTGACTGTCAACACCTCTGACTTCCTGGTGCTGGATGCCCAGAACTACCCCTGGCTCACCAACCACACCGTGCAGCTGCAGCTTCGCAGCCTGCCACACAACCTCTCGGTGGTGGCCACCAACGACGTGGGTGTCACCAGTGCCTCGCTCCCGGCCCCAGGTGAGCACTCTCAGCCATGGGCCCAGGAAAGCCTCAGGGGGTGTGGGAAGTGGGAAGACTTGTTGCCCTTCGGGTGAGTCTGGTGAATGAGCTGTCCCCAGACACCTTGAGCAAGGAGGATAGAGTAGTGACTTGTGGCATCTCAGAGTTGGGGCCCTGCCCACTTGGAACCTAACCAGAGGACGACCTGCAGGGCTCCTGGCCACCCGGGTCGAAGTGCCACTGCTCGGCATTGTTGTGGCTGGAGGGCTTGCCCTGGGCACCCTGGTGGGGTTCAGCACCTTGGTGGCGTGCCTGGTCTGCAGGAAAGAGAAGAAGACCAAAGGTAGGGCCAAAGCAGGGTTGGGGCAGAGGGCGGCCAGGGGAGCGGAGATGAGGTCAGGGAGTGAGTGTCAAGGGCATGGGCAGCCAGTGGAACTGGGCTGCCAAGTGGTGGGACAGGTCTTCCCGAGCATGGTCATGGGCAAGACCACACGCACCCCAGGTAGCAGGGCCGGGCACTGGGTACCCAGTCTGGGCATCTGAGAGTCCCCTTGCCTGAGGGCCCTGGGCCTGTGAGGGCAGAGGGCAGAGCCCCGAGTGGGTGGGCTCACTGAGACGGTGGCATGGTTTCTTTCTCCTCAGGCCCCTCCCGGCGCCCATCCCTGATCTCTAGGTAACTCTTCCTGGGGCTGAGTGGATGGGCCACACGGAGACGCAGCAGGGGTGGGTGGGATCCTGGAACAGGCCCCAAGCAGGAATCTGCGCCTGCTGGTACCGGGGCGCAGCCAAGCCTTTGTCCGCCTTGTAGTGACTCCAACAACCTGAAGCTCAACAATGTGCGCCTGCCCCGGGAGAACATGTCCCTCCCGTCCAACCTGCAGCTCAACGACCTGACTCCGGATGCCAGAGGTACACCCAGGACCCTGTTTGCCCCTGCTTTATCTTCAGAGGTGTTCCTGAGAAAAAGAGAGACCCTGGGCCTTAGGAGGGGCTAGACCCCATCGGGCATGTGCCTCGTCCTGGGCACCACCTGCTTTGTCACCCCACAGGGAAACCAGCGGACCGGCAGACAGCTCAGAACAACAGCCGGCCGGAGCTTCTGGACCCGGAGCCTGGAGGTCTCCTCACCAGCCGAGGTATGAGAAAGGGGCTTGCTGCCCTCCTCCTCTGCTCCTTGGCCCTTTTACTTGTGCCAGAGGCTTCTGAGTCCCCAAGGGCAGAGAGTGGTCTCCCAACCTCCAAGGAATGGCAGTTACTGATATTCCTGGCATCTCTGGCCCCACAGGTTTCATCCGTCTCCCAATGCTGGGCTACATTTATCGGGTGTCAAGTGTGAGCAGTGATGAGATCTGGCTCTGAGCTGAGGCCGAGACAGAGGATGCCTTCTTGGCATCTGGACCCCCTCCCGGTCCTCCTCCAAGGCATCCTTTGCCTGGCCACGTTGCCAGCATGGAGAGGCCACGCCACTGCCACTTTTGCTTGCCCTCTGGGACACAGGTATCTTTGGCAAGGCTGCCAACTGGACCTAAGCCCTTGTTCCAACTTCAGTTGGAGGCCTATGCCCAGGCCAATGGAGCACTTTGTCTGGTGTGCCTGGAGGTTATCCCACATCTAAGGGTGGGGTGGCCCTGTTGGCTTGGGCCGGCTCCGTGCCCCACAGTGGTACGCTTCAGCACCTGATACAGCAGGCATGGGGCAGGCCTGGTTGGGAAGGCCCTGCATGTCCTGGATCTCCTTCCCGTGCTATACGCAGCTTTGTTCCCTCAGGAAAAAGTAGGACCCTGCTAGCTATAGAGAACCAAATTGCCCTTTGCACAGGAACCAACCCCTGGCCCAGGGGTACTGGCCAAGCACAAACCAGTCCCTTTTGCTGCATACCTCTTTACTCCCCTGTCCCCGCCTCCTCTTGGGCATCATAAGTTATACAGTGGACCTTCTCCACTTCTTCACTGGGCACTAGACGTCCCCACTGGCCTGGCTCCTGGTGGTGCCAGTGCCTGGTGTTAGCATAAGGCAGGAGAACAGTGGGAGGTGAGAAGCCTGCTGCATCAAGACTGCATGTAGCTCTGCATCATTTCCTTACAGTGTTAGCACTTTAAGCACATCTCCTGGGGAGGGGGTGAGCTAGGACCCCAGGGCCGTCCATGGCTTCCCCAAGTCTGGCCTTTTAATGATTCACTGTGAGTGCCCTGCGTCCTCAGGGTTGATGGTTTCCCACTTAAAATGTCTCCCCTACCGTGGGACCCCAGCAGGAAGCCGTTCCTCCTGTCCCACCCTGTGTTAAGGGGACAGTCAGAGTGGCACATAATTTGACATTGCCAGAAACCTTAGGAAGACATGGGAAAAGGAGGGAGACCACATATCCCAAAACAACCTAAGGACACTTTTGAAAAGCAACATGGAAAAGATCACAAACGAATAGAGTGCTAAGTATATTTTTCCCTCCTTGATATCTTGTTTTGTAATTTTTCTCATGTTACTGCTAGGACAGTGCTGAGCACACAGTAGATTCAATAAACTTGACTGAGTGAATGTTACATGTCTGAATCATTCCTTCAAATATGTTTCTTTTAAATTGAACTATAGTTGATTTACAATGTTGCATTAGTTCAAGTATACAGCGAAGTGATTCAGGTGTGTATGTATACTTTTTCAGATTCTTTTCCATTATAGGTTATTACAAGATACGGAATATAGTTCACTGTGCTATACAGTAGGTCCTTGTTTATTAGTTTTACATATAGTAGTGTGTATATGTTAATCCCAAACTCCTAACTTATCCCTCCCCCCACTTTTCCCCTTTGGTAACCTTAAGTTTGTTTTCTATGTGAGTCTGTTTTTGTTTTGTAAGTTCACTTATCATTTTTTAAGATTCCACATATAAGCGATACCATTTATCTTTGTCTGACTTACTTCACTTAGCATGATAATCCCTAGGTCCATCCCTGTTGCTGCCGATGGCATTATTTCATTCTTTTTTATGACTGAGTAATATTCTGTTGTATATACACACTGTATCTTCTTTATCCATTCATCTGTTTCTGAACACTTAGGTTGCTTCCAAGTCTTCGTTATTGTAAATAGTCCTGCTGTGTACGTTGGGGTACGTGTATCTTTTCAAATTAGAATTTTGTCTTTTCTGGATATATGCCCAGGAGTGGGATTGCTGGATCATATGCTAACTATTTTTAGTTTTTTGTGGAACCTCCATACTGTTCTGCATTGTGGCTGAATCAGTTTACATTCCCACCAACAGTGTTGGAGGGTTCCTTTTTCTCCACACCCTCTCCAGCATTTTTTTTTAGACTTTTGATGATGGTCATTCTGACCAGTGTAAGGTGATACCTCATTATAGTTTTGATTTGAATTTCTCTAATAATTAGTGATGTTGATTATCTTTTCATGTGCTGGTTTGCCATCTGTACTTCTTTTTTGGAGAAATGTCTTATTTTGTTCTTCTCCTGCCCATTTTTTGATTGAGTTGTTTGTTTTTTTGATAACAAGCTGTATGAGCTGTTTGTATATTTTGGAAATTAAGCCTTTGTCGGTTGCACTGTTTGCAAATATTTTCTCCTAGGCCATAGGTTGTCTTTTTGTTTTGTTTGTGGTTTCCTTTGCTGTGTGAAAGCTTGTAAGTTTGATTAGATCCCATTTGTTTATTCAAGTACTTTTAAAAATTATTTATTTGGGGGGGATGGTTAATAGAGGTACTGAGGATTGAACCCAGGACCTTGATGCAAGCTAAGCATGTGCTCTACCACTGAGCTATACCCCTAGCCTCTATTCAAGTGTGTTTTTTAAATGAAATCTTTAAATCACACAGCAGAGAAAACATAGCAAACACCTGTGTACCCACCATGCAACTCTGTTGAATCTTAACACTTTACCTGATTGGCTTCAGATCTTTTATGTTTAAAAATACGTATTATTTCTTTAGGGGGGTGAGTATAGCTCAGTGGTAGATCGCATGCTCAGCATGCATGAGGGTCCAAGGTTCAATCCTCGGTACCTCCATTTAAAAAAAAATCAGAAGAAAAATATTAAGAAATAATAAATAAATATTATTTAATTACACTGTTCCCAGTGACAGAGCTGACGTTTTCTATTTCAGGCGTGCTGGGGGATCATAGCTATGTCCAGTGCCTGATTAGCACTTGGTTGATACCACTTGGCAGCCTCTTCCTGTCACAGGATACAGCTAAGCCATGCTGAGCCCCTCTGCCCTGACCACGGGTATGGAAGACTCCGACTAGGCTGTGATTTTTCCAAAAAAATTTTCTGGGGGATCATGAGGGGGAAGAAGACTAGAAACAGGATGAGTTATTTGAGGGCAGGTTGGCTTCCAGCCATGCTCTTTCCTTACCTTTCTTGTTCAGTGTTTTCCTCCATGGGAATGGCTAGGCCTGCCCCAGCCTCCCGAGAGAAGCTGATTTTGCATTTAAGTTCCTTCGTGGCTCCAGGACTTTCAGGGGCCAGGGTGGCTCACTGTCATTTCTGTTCCCCTTGGGAGGTCCTGGAATGCCTTCCTTGATGGCTCTTAGGCAGGTCTACAAGCCCCGAGCAGCTGCACTCAAGGCTGGACTCTAGCAGAAGGGTTTGCTCTTCCTGGCAAATCTCCATCCTTGCAAGTGTTTGTTAAGGGGTGGACTTTCAAACTAGTGTCCCAATTTTGCATACATATCCCTTAGATCAGAGATTCCTTGTTCCTTTGTTAAGTTAAAGACCCCTTGGAGAATCTGATGAAAGTTAAAGACTCTTTTCCCAGAAAATGTAGATTAAGAAAGCCCATCAAATTACAACATGGATGAACCTTGAAAACGTGAAATGAAAGAAGCCAAACCCAAAAGAACACATATGACTCCACTTATAAGAAATGCCCAGCATAGGCAAATCTACAGAGACTGAGAGTAGGTTAGTGCTTGCCAGGGGCTGGGGGAGGGAAGAATGGGGCATGACTGCTAATAAACATGGGGTTTCTTTCTGGAGTGACAAAAATGTTCTGGAATAAGTCTGGTGCACAACTTTGTGAATAGACCAAAAACCACTGAATTGTACACTTTATAAGGGTGAATTTTATGATATATGAATCATGATAATTTGATTTGTACATTTCACTATATATAAATTTCACCTGACAAATGAACCATAAGTAAATATTAATGTATTTTACTTTATATTAATCCAGTTAATTATATACATGCTGAAATGTTTAGGGGCAAAGTGCATTGATGGCTGCAACTTACTTGAAATGTATCAAAAAATAAGATAGACTGATGAGTGGATAGAGAGGTATGGATATGTGATAAAGCAAATTTAGCAAAATGTTAATTATAGGATTTAAGTGGTGAGAATTTAGGGTTCACTATACAGTTCTTCCAAAATTCTTCGATAATTTTCATATATTCATAATTCAAATTGTAGTAAAACTCATGACAGAAGTCCTTATAAAATAATCAGGGGATCCCTGATCTAGTTGCTTCTCTGATGTTTCTGAAATCTTTTTGATCTTTCTAAGGATCATGGAATTTTCAAGCCTTACCAATGCCCCTGACATGATAGTTCCCCCTTTCCTGGGAAAGAGCACCAATTTTTAGTATATTTCAGTCATCTAATCTTTAATCTTTACCCTCCAATAATAATAGGCAGGTTGCTAGTGACCTTGAGCTGGAATATGAGGAGTCCAGCATTTGGGTGGGCCGAGCTCAGGCTGTGTTTCCCATTGGGACTATGTTTTACTGAATTCCTCCAGACACAATAGACTGTTTAATAAAGACTTGTAAAAATTAATGTTCAACTTTGTACATTGCTGTAGGAGTGTACATGGTGCAGCCACTGTGGAAGGTAGTCTGGCATTTCCTCAAAAAGTTAAACACAGAATTACCCTATGATCCAGTAATTCCACTTCTAGGTTTAGTCCTCAAATAATTGAAAGCAGCACTTCTCTGAAGGAGATTCAAGGCTCTGTTGAATGGACTCGGGGTGAATCCCAATGGCCTTAGCTTGTTGCAAAAAGCCAGGGATGGCTTCACTGTTTAAAATGGCCCCCCGCTGAGGTGCTGGCTCGTGTTCCTAAGTGCGGTAAGGCTGTGACGTGCCTTATGGGGAAAGTGTGTTAGATAAACGTCACTGTGCGTGGCTTACAGGGCTGGTGGCTGTGAGTTCAGTGAATCAGAGGTTGGCTGACGAAAATGTTATGACAGAGGCACACAGGAACCTAATGCTGTGTTGCCCCTAGGAGCAGTGGTTCAGTATTTGCTAACTCAGTGTTCTCGTGGTGACTTTCTGGAGCGCAACTCCCGGGAATAATGAGCATCGACTGCACTTACTGGTGCCGAGTCCTGGCTCTAGCCTGAAAAGGCAATCTGACGGTGCCCTGAACACCTAACAGGGGATCGGAGTTCCTGTCACGTTTTGCCCCTCTTTTTCCCTCTGAGTGAAACGTGAGCATGGATGGTACCCATCTGAGAGCGGCACCTGGTCCCGACATGGTGTCCACCTGAGACTCGAGCTCAAATGCTCCTCAGATCCAAGCATGATGTGACCATCAGAGTAGGCTTACGGGTCTGTAAGAGACGATTCCCCTCCTGACCATGTGTTCCTTGTATATATGTATTAGGTGGACAATGTAGCATTTTAATGTAACTTTCTCCTCTAATCAATTCTCACCCCACTTTCCCCCCATATCAGTATTTGGCTCCATTATCCATCCAGCTGCTCAGGCCAAAAAAGGGCTGTTTTTTCAGCCCTCCTGATGCTTTTGTAACCAATTGCCCATATTTAACACACTTTGTTAAAAATAACTAGGTTTCTGACTTCCTGAGTGGAGCTTAGCTTACAGAACCTCCAGAGTATTTCCTGAATCTGTCCATCTCTCCTGCTACCACTACTCCCAAACATCATCCTCTCTCACCTGGCTGACTGCGGTAGCCAGGCTCCCTGAGACCACAACCAGACAGACAAGTCTGGCGCTAGACGGGCTGGTGGCCTGTAAGGTGGGCAGCACTACCTGGTGAGAGACCCCCAGAAAAAACAAGTTCTGGGAGAAAAATGCTTCCCCTCTACACCAGCCTTGCAGGACTGGGGTGTGTTACTATTCACGTAATGCCTACACCTAGGCCAAGTTTCTTATCTCTGCCTATGCTCAGTCTTCTCTCATATTAAAGAATAGCAGGATAACCTGAAAGATAAGAGCATTTTATATGTATCATATTTGTCAACTAACTTTAAGACTGAAAGAAATAATTCTATTGCTATCTCCAGAAGAACATCTTTAACCCTTCCCCCCAACCTGAGCATCCTCGGAGCCCAGAAATTCCAGTTCTTCTAACTCAAATCCTCACAGCAGCGTGGATGCATGATTCCCTTGGGAAGGGAATCCGAGACGGGCATCAGGCGTCTAACAACCATGTGCAGTGCTTTCTGGCAGAGAAAGGGGTAGGACATGCACTGTTACCAAGTCAAGCTGTGAGGGGGGACAGGATGCCAGGTGGCTGACAACGATTCTCCTTCTAAGATGGCGTAGAGTAAACAGCTCAGCCTTGAAACAGAGCGACATGGGAGGTGTCTCAGCTGAAGGTTAATGTCTCTGCATCTCCAGCTTGGGAGGTGGAGTTGGATGGAGGGGTGAATGCTTTCTTGCCTTCAGCTAGAGCTTTAAAATGCTGCAAAGGAAAGAGGAGAGGGAACGTGGAGCACTTGGGACATGCTAGTTACTGCATTTTAGCAAGAACTAACCTCTTAACAACGCTTTAAGTTCCCATTTTCTCCCATTTCTACTTCCAGAACAATTCCTTGGTGTTGTCTTTGAAAAACAGCTAAAAACTTGCCCAACCTCCTTCAAAACTGAACCCCTTTTTTCCTTGCTTCCTGCTTCCATTCATTAGGCCACTTGGTGCTCTTGTAAGAATGCGTGTCCATGGTAGAGCCTCACCTAGTCTTGTCCAAGGGCCACATATCTCTGCTCCCTCCCCTTCCTCTGAAAGCCCCACCCCTGCCTGCTCTGCAGTCCTCTTCATTATGGGGAAGGTAACGTAACTCCAGGCAGAGACATCCTCCACCGTCACAGCACAGGACCACAGCAGACCCAGAACAGTGGTGACGGCAGCAGTCCTCACTATGCCTCAGCCAGTCTCCAGTGCTCGTCTTACCTGTGAGTTCTTGAATTCCGAGTAGAGGGAAAAGAGCAGATGGAGGGACTGAATCCGACTCTTGTAGACAGGGATGTCTAGGATGGCTGAAACCAAGAACTCCCGTGAGTAGAAACGAACCAACCCAGGAATTATGGGGCATTTCTGTTTACAATGGCCAACTCTCTCCCAAATGAGATGTGCTTCTATCACCTTGGGGGTTAAATGCCTGGCAGGTAGTCACATAAACCCAAACACCACCCTCAAGTGCTGCCGAACAGCACAGCCAGCTTAAAGTGAAGGCTGTAACTCAGCGTAAACAAGCCTTTTCAACAGCCCACAGTGAATTTATCCAGAAACGGGGTCAAGGAAGGGCTGGAAGAGCTTACCACAGATCATGTCAATGTACTCTGCCAGGCTGCAGTCGATCTCTGCTGTGGGCAGGCTCACCTAGGAGGGGCGTGGGATGGACCCAAGTCAAAAGGCTGAAATCTCAGTGGTCCTCGCATCACTCTCTTTCTCTGAAGGAAAAGTGCTCCGAGCTTAAGGGGTGATATGAGCTGAGCTGTGTTCACCCTCAATTCATATGTTGAAGTTCTAACCCCTAATGCCTCAGAATGTGACTATATTTGGAGATACGGTTGTAAAAGAGATAAAGTTAAAATGAGGTCACTAGGGTGAACCCTAATCCAGCATGACTGGTGTCCTAAAAAGAATAAACTAGGATATGGACACACACAGGGGGAAGATCACGTGAAGACACAGGGAGAAGACAGCCAGGGAGAAAGGCTCTAGAAGAAGTCAACTCTGCTGACAGTCTGATCTCCAACTTCCAGATGGCAGAAGTGTGAGAAAATAAATTTCTGTTGCTTAAGCCACCCAGTCTGTGGGACTTTGTTATGGCAGCCCTAGCAAATAATACAACGCACCTTTTTTTTTTTCCCTGATCAGTAAAATAGAATTGGTCATACTCATTAACCACCAATGTAGTAGATAATGTAACAGGATCAAAAGATTTTATAAGTAAAATACACTGCTGTGCAGTCTTCCTCTGTGTATTTGTGAAGAAGAAACTGGTTATGGCCAAGTATTTGTAGTTACTTGGTGTTATAAGGCCTGATGGTCTTTGGACATCACAAGAACAGAAAAAATGGACATGACATCTCAGATGATAGGCTCCGGATCTAAACCATTCATACTGTAAGTTTAAAAACCATTGGCTTCTTAAAAGTTTTTCATTCTCTTTTTACAAACATCAAGATGTATATGGTTCTGCAACTTCCTTTTTCTACTTAACATGTCATTGATATTTCTCTGTATAAGAGCAAAATAAGGCCAAATATATTCCATTGTGTAAGTGTTTCACTGAATGGATTACTACAATCTATTCAATTCCCTAATCAGGTATTTTCCCTCAACTATAGCATTTTAAATGCTTTGAGAAAAGGGATTGTTTTCAAATTCTTTGCTTTTACAACAATTTCTCAATAAAAATGTCCCGCCCCCCCAAAAAAACCCCTCTGTCTTCGTGGAGCTTATATTTTAGTAGGGAGAAACAAAAAAACAGAGTAAGTATAGTATGTTAGAAGGTAAGTATCATGGAGAAAAGCAGGGAAGGAGGCTGGGGAACGCGGAGTAGCAATTTGAAACATCACAGCCAGGAAGGAGCTGTTAATGTCTTTGTTCTCTCTTGATATGTAAGAGCTCTCTGCTTGGATACTAATGTTGTCACATACATGTATTTAAGTAATTTTTCTTGGTCCATCACTTTGTAAACTTTGTTTACGGTAACTACTGGTACTTAGAATTTTTATATTTATATGAATCTAAACTGTCACATTTTCCCCATGATGACTTTTAAGGATCTTATTATGCAAAGAAACACCTATCTAACAGCATTAAATTAAGTATTTCTCCTATTTGTAAAAATGGTACTTATATAGCTTTATTTTTACTTTAACTGCTTAATTCACTGGGAATTCATGTATGCATATGGTTGAGACTTAGATCTATGTAATTTTTCTCAAATGGCTGGCCAGTCATCTAATCACAACCCATTCTATCTCTAATTATTTAAAATGCCATCTTTCTTTTTATTTGTTTATAACACCTTTATTGTGGTATTGTTCCTGTATAGAAAACTATATATATTTCAAATGTACAATTTGATGAATTTTGATATATGTATACCCCAATGAAAGTACCACCACAATCAAGATAGCTAATATTTCCATCACTCCCCAGGAGGTGCAATTTTCGAATTCCCAATTTATCCCCTCTCACGCTCTTTACCCACTGGTAATGGTAAGTTTATTCTCTATGTCTGTGAGTCTGTTTCTGTTTTGTAAGTAAGTTCATTTGCGTTGTTTTTTTTTTTTTTAGATGACACATATAAGCAATATCACGTGGCATTTTTCTTTCTCTTTCTGGGTTACTTCACTTAGAATGATGATCTCCAAGTCCATCCATGTTGCTTCAAATGGCATTATTTTATTCTTTTTTATGGCTGAGTAATATTCAATACTATTTTTCTCACAACAAATTCCCACATTCACATGGGTTTCTGGATTGTTACATGCTGCTCATCTAGTACATTACTGATTTATTGACTATAGCTTTATAATGTGTTCCTACTGTCTGGGAGGGCAAATCCTCCATTATTTTTTCCCAAAATTTTCATGATGAGTCTTAAAAACTGATGCTTTCAGATAAACTTTGTTACCAAATTTTCGATTTCTAAAAAATGCAGTTAAAATCCTAACGGAAATGGCATTACACTTACCAAGGGCACTGGGGAGGACAGCTGGTGCTGACAGCTGGTGCTGAGACTGATCCTCCCTTCCAGGAACGTGGCTTGACTCCTTACTCACTCAGAGCTTGTGTCATGCCCTTCATTAAAGTTTTATCATCTGTTTTCAGAAAGGTCTTAGCATTTCCCATTAAGTATATTCCTGGGAACTTTTTAAAAATGTGGGGTCATTATGAATGGGACATCAACTTCTCAGAATAGCACATATACCTCTGTGGAGAAGGTGGAATCTAAAGTAATAATACCGGAAGGACATATGTTCACCCGAAGGGATGTGTTAGAATGTTCACAGTAATGCTACAGAGTAATTTGTAGTAACTCAAAACTGGAAACCAGCCAAATGGCTATCATAGAATGGATAAATAAACCGTCATATATTCAAATAGTAAGATGCCATACAGTAATGAGAATAAATGTCCAACCACAATGTATGAAAGAATATGGATGAATCTCCATATGGGTGAACAATACAGAAGAGCAAATAAACAGAACACAAAAGAATATGATTAGACTTAGATAAAATGCAAAACATGCAAGCCTAACCTATGCGGTTAGACGTCAGAGTAGCGGTTACACTGGGAGGTGGAGGGGGCTTCCAGGCTACCAGCAATGTTCTGTTGTTTGATCTGATGTGTTGGTTGTAATTGGTAACAATCAGTTGGTACTAATTAATCAACACTTATGCATATGTTCCTGATTCTGTACTATACTTCAATTAAAAAGTTAATGATAATGATAATGATAATATAGGAAGAGAGAAGACATTGGGAACTAGAATGAATGCCGCAATTTCTGCTACCTTCTACTCACCTTTCCCAAAAGTTCTTCAAACTCTGGAGACCATTCTTGCATCAACGTGTCAATATCCGGCATAGGCCTGAAAGTGCAGAGGTAAATATGAACCAACAACACTGACCATCACAGCAACCTCTGCATCGCGATATTCTAGGATGAAGGGAGGTCCCCAATCTGGCGCATTAGGATTTCAGGAGAACAAAGATGGGCAGGCCAAACTTACCCAAGGCCTAGGGTTTGGAGAAGCTGGCTAAGTAATAATACCAGATAAATCACAATATTTATGTCTGCAATCTTAGCCAGTAGCTTCCAGGATCTCTAAGTCCTAGGTTGATCAAATATGTCCCAGCCTTGGGGCTCCCTTCTCAGAAGCAATGGCTTCTGGTGAAGGTTACCATGGGTTACCAAGGTAAAGAATGTGCTGTTCCTTACCTGGTGTAGTGCACAGTCGCAGGGGGCTTGGAACGGTGTAACTCAGAGATGCTCTCAATCCATGTGTCAATAGCCTTGGGATTCTTTTCTGCGTCTTCCAGGCTCTTTACTTTCATATGTTGCTAGAAAAATACAGGGAAAGCCTGGCTTATGGCATTGAAGGTGCTCTTTTGTTTTTACAGAGTGGCTCATCATATGCTGCTACTTCATATTCAAGGTAGCTGATGAAAAGGGAAGCCTGACAGCAGCCAAATGAAGATTACAGGAAACGCTGGGAAAATCTTCTGGAGCCAGGGGAAGGGGGCAGTCAATAGGATGGGAATGACCACAATGAGATACCATTTCACACCTTCTGGGATGGCTAGAATAAAAAGGACAGACAGTACAAAGTGTAGGTGAGGATGTGGAGAAACTGGAACTCTCATTCATTGCTGGGGGGCATTATAAAATGACTTAGCCTCTTTGGAAAATAGTTTGGCAGTTCCTCAAAATATTAAACAGTCACCAGATAGCCTAGCAATCCCACTCCTGCCTATATACCCAAGATAAATAACAATATACGTCCATGAAAAAACTTGCATAGCAGCATTATTAATGAAAGGGGAAACAACTGGTAAATGGATAGATAAAATGTGGTCTGTCCACATGGTGGAATACTATTCAGCCATAAACAGGGAATGAAGTAGTGACCAGGGTGGAGGCACAGGGGGAGTGAGGAGTGACTACTAATGGGAATGGGTTTCTTTTAGAATGATGAAAATGTTCTTAAATTAGATAGTGGTGATGGTTGTAAAACTCTGAATATACTAAAAAAAAATCACTGAATTGTACAATGTAAAAGGGCAAATTTCATAGTAGGTAAATTATATCTCAGTACAACTGTTATTTAAGGTAGGTCTGGCTGAAACTATAGCCATCCCTCTTGATAGGCAGTAAGTCAACTGAGGCCTGTACTAGGCTACTTACTGTGATGTTGTGCTGTTTGGAATTCTCTGTTAACCAAAGTGAGAGCACTGTAGGGTCTGACTGCTTCGTAGAAGGCTCGTCCAATACCAATAAGCCAAGGTTGTCAGGCTTTCCATCAGGACGTGGAACCTGGTTAGGAGAAAGGTAAGAAAGCAGAGGAAAAAAAAATGGGAGGGACATAAAAAGGTCACACTTGTTTCCAAAAAGCTGAAGACAAAGAGCTCTTCTGGTTCATCATTATCACTAGTATTAAAAAGCATGCCTGTAGATCATGCTGCACTAAAATACGATCTAGAAAAAAAATATATGGTCTATAGGACCTTAAATATAAAGCTGAAATCATAGGTAATTAGGAGGCAAATATATGACAGATTTTTAACACACAATGAGATAATTACTACCTAATAGCAATGAGTATAATTTGGAGTTGAAAAAAAGTTAAGAACTCCAGTGAAATGAAGACTATATATCAAGGTAGCCAATGCTAGTCAAGGAAATTAGTGGAGCTGTTAGAGTGATGGAGGGGTCAGAAGAAACACCTAAGGAGTCATTTGTAGGATGTTCTCACTGTACCTTTAAGAATGCATCAATATCCCCAACAGCTGGGATAAATTCAGGAATGAAAGGTTTCAGTTTGTGGTCTAGGTCAATCAGCTGAGGTGTGTACCTAGGAGATACGGGAAGGTGGAGACAGAGAAACTTACGTTATTATTCATGCTAAACAAACCCAAGGGGAATGGCCATGTTTTGGACCAGAGGAAGGAAAGGGCAAGGCGGGGCTGGGGGATATGGCAGGAGGTCCTGGTACTCACCGATTGATGTACTGGAAGAGTTCCTTAATCTCAGCAGAAACTGGCAAATGCTCATAATCCGCAGGATCATAGGCCCTGGGGAAGGAAAACGTGGTTCAAGGACGCCAGAGAAAAGCAGGTGCTGCTGAGCTCTGGCTCAGCCTGTGTCACTCAGCACAGGCACGTGACTCTGAACCTAGTTTCTGCTCCACCCACATCTGCCTTTCCTGAGTGGCTTGCAAGGCAACTTTAAAAATGATTATAATTAGCTCCAAGTTATTTCTGATAATAAAGAACAGGGTCACAGAAAATGCAGAACATAATTTAAAAAAAATTTTAGAATGTAGCAGAAATTTTTTTGAATGAAAGGGATGAAGAAAAAAGATGGAATGAGGTTTTAACTTCTGACATGAAAATGGTTTGCCCCAAGAAAAAAAGGAATTTTTACAAGGATGTTTCTCAGTGCTATGTATAAAAGTAAAAAGTTAGAAGCAAATAAAAAATCCAACACTTTTGAGAGATGGTTAGATATGTCAAGTTGAATACTGTAGTTATTAAAAGGTACTTGTATTAATACATGAAATGTATGAAAAAACCTGTAGAGCACATATTAATTACTGCAAGTAAAATGTAATGAACAAAGTATACAAGTGATTTGGAAAGTTATTTAAGACTCTTCTAAAAAAATATTCTTCTGGGGAGAACTGCTTAACAAAAAAACTAAATAGATTAATGATTTCAAGTTTACATTTTCCCAGATTATAATTTATGAAAGCAGGATCATGAAGTAAATTGGGAAGCATGGAAAGTCAGTCAGTTAGTGAACATTTGCCTAATTTATTTAGTGTCTACCTGCAGGTGGATAATCCAAAGGGAACTATTTTTACTTTTATTAAACTGCTTTTTACTCAATAAATGATGCTTGCACATGATAGAAAATAAAAGGTACAAAATGTATACAGTGAAAAGTTATGTCTCCCTTCTGCCTCTGTCCCCTTGCCACCAAGTTCCCTTCCCAAGAGTAATCAGTATTATTAGTTCCTAGTGTATCTTAGAGATAGTTCATGTAATATTTGTTTTATATACATGGTAGCACAGCATAAAGACCTCTATACCTTTTTAAAATGTAACAAACTCTCTTGGAGATTGTTCTTTACCAGTGCATAGAATGCTGCCTCATACATTTTAACGGCTAGAAGGGATTCCACTGATTGGCTAGATCATTATTTATTTAACCAGTAATTGTATTTTAAATGAATGGGTCTTAGAATCCACTTTGATTATAACCCACAGGGGTGGGTCATGATTAGTCTAGCACCAGGGCTGGAACAGGGTGAGGGGAATTTTCCCTTAAGCATCATCCAGGAACATCCTGCCTCAACATGGGGCTCTGGAAGCACCTATTCTCTACCTGTCCTAGTACTCCCTGTGCATGTATGTCCTTGCTAAACAGAAATGCTCTGGTATATGTATAAGTGATCTCCTCTTCCCTAGAACGTGACCTCCTTGAAGCCAGAAACCACAAGTTAAACTGACTCAGCAAATCCTCATGAAATCCCTGAGCCCACAAATGGTGCAAGTGACATCACAGGACTCAGTGCGGCAGTGGAGCCAGAAAAGAAGGAAAACTCCTTATGCTGGGTTTCTGAGCCATCTGACAATCCTAAGCAGAGGAGAGCATGAGAGCCGCTGGAATTTCACTTCTCATTGGCGCCCTCCCGTCCAGGGTTTGAAAGGAGGCATTTCCCTCCTGGGCAGGTAGGTGGGCTTTCCTCACCCCTCGAGGGGGGCCCCGTGCTCCTCATCGTCGTCATCGTCGTCGTCAGAATCAGTTTCCGAGGAGTCGTTGTCATCGTCATCGTCGTCGATTTCGCTGAAGCCCCGCTGAGGTGTCAGCCGTGAGGTCTTCTTCTTCTCCTGAGATCGAGCAGAGGAAGCACGAAAGTCCACATAAGGAGAAGTTTAGGGCGCCTATGGCAGGTTCTCTCCTAGTGCTCCAACCATTGCCCTCCCGCCTGGCACCAGTTCGCGAGAAAGAGAAGGAAGCACTCCCCAGCAGGGCCTCGAGAACCTCCTTCTGCTCCTACTTAGCTACAAACTGAGTCCCCACTTTCTATAACCACAGTCTATTTCTCCACTTGAGGCCTGGGTATAAATCTTATCCATCACGTATCTAATTTACCTGTTACTTAGGATGAGTCTGAGAACTCTGCATGAACTTTATCCAGTCAGTTTCAACTCTAAAACTTAGGGACTTTTTAAGAAGGCAACTAACTGTAAATAGTTATTTGGGGAGGAAATGGGGGAAGATGAAGTGGGAAAGACAAACTTTAGGGGATCTTAACACTCACAAAGATTACAGGGATGAAATCTAGTATTTATTTTGCAGGACTGCCCAGAGTAAGCTGCTTGTGACTATCAAAAGAAGTAAGTTGATAATCAATGCCGCGCCTGAACTCTGACCAGCAGTTCCCAAGACACTGGGTTTTCCACTTCCATTCAATGGGTATCTGACCTATTCATGTTTCTCCTTCCTCCCCTGGTAAGTTAAATGCAATGGCTGTACATTGTATCTCAAGATTGAGAGACTCTTCTGTTCTTGGCATTACAACCCACCTTTCTGAGTCTCCGGTTCTCTGTGTACCATCCTACCCTCTCAAGCCCATGAGAAGGGGTCTGGTGGTGCCTGTGCAAGGGCAGTTGGGACAGGGTCCATGTCTTTGCCTCCAGGGCCTGGAGCCTGTGGCGTGCCCTCACTTAGGACCTGAAGGATGACTGGCCCCCTTTAAAAACAGGTTTTCAAGCTTAGTTTCCAAATGTCATATGCCTTACACTGAGATTAAGAAATGTTTGGTTCTAGTTTTAAAAATTATTTAATGTCTCTTACATTAAAGCAGCTAATGGTATATAAAATTGTGACACGTTACAGGACATCAGAAACTTCTTTGGGTCACATTTTCCTCTAAGCATAACACAGATTTATTACACAGAGAAAAATATGTTTTAATTAACCTGTAACAGGTGTGATAGGTGACGCAGTTGCAGAATTTGCCTTATTGGTATACAATTGATAAGAATCAGTGACTATGCCTTATTGGTATATAATCGATAAGAATCTCCAATAGTGTTCTTTCCTAATTCATAATCTGCTAAAATTATTTTTGGTCACATGGGAAGCAGTCTGGCAAAGGGAGCTTTTTAAGAATACTGTCAACTTAAAGACTATTCAAAAATGGATCCTTTTGGCTGATTCTGGGAACATATTAAATTGGAAAGACAAATGAGCCTTGAATATTGACTATACCATGATGAAGAATAAAAAAATTTAGGATGAATATACAAAATTAGGAGGTCAATTTAGGAAAATTGTTCACTTTTTATCTGTCTGCTTCTTCAAAGTTGTGTTTTGCAAAATTTGCATATCACAGACAAGATGCCTAAACAATTACTTTGTGGGTAAAATGTAAAACAGCACACTAGTCACAAAGCAGGGCTATCTTAAAACAGTACCTTTTAGGCTTTCTACAAAATTTGTCTCTATCCTTCTGCATTACTTCAAATGTTCTCCTTCATCTGAGGTTTCAAAACTCCCATTCTTGAGGGACAGTTAAAACGTAACCATTGGACCATGTGCTAAGGCTGAACACATGGGCTATAAGCAGAGCACATGTGCAGCTTTAAGGCTCTATCTGGCTAGAGCTGTAGGCATCTTCTCATCTTTCTTTCAGAAATGGTGATGCTCTCAGTTCATAGAATAATAACAGAGTGACATCTGGGTCTTAAGACTTCAAAATTAAAGTCTCTTTCACAAAATACTGGCAGTATCACAAGTGCTGACAAATGCCAAGACCAGTCATTCCAAACTTGCTTTATCATAAGAATTACTTGGAATGCTTGCTAAAAATACAGACTTCCAGGCTTTGACCTGCAAGCTTCTGATGAGGTGTAGTTCTGGGTGGGGACTGGTAATCTGTTGTTTTTTCTTTTTTTTAAATAAGTACCCAACTTGATTCTTATGACCAGAAAAGTCTGTGAAATACCAGCTTATGTTATATGAAATTCCTCACCAAAAAGTCAGCTGTAATAGTAGGCTTTATTCCTGAAGGAGAGTCAAAATCTTAAGGCACTTTGCTCTTGATTGTTGTCCATGAGCTCAAAAGTACCCAACCACTGGAGGTGAGTATTCAAGAAATATCTGCTACTGAACTGGTGGCATTTCAAACTAACTACTAAAAACTCAAAGCAGGAATTTCACAAGAAGCTGCAGGTTATACTGCACCTTGTTATTTTCCTCTTCATACTCCTCACTGCTTTTATCTGCCATAGTCTTGTCAGGAGGATGCATGGAACGAGGAAGTCCTTGGAAGAAAAGTTTCCCCTTTAGGTTATTGTTCAAATGATTTTTAAATGCAAATATTTTTAGTTTATAGTGCTTTATGCTCTAACCATTTTTTGGAACAGGATTTATAAGAACATTTAGCTGAAAGATAGGAAACTGAATTCTAGTCATAGCTCCATCAATTCAATTTAAGATATATTTGCTAAGCATTACTGTACTTAAGGCATTGGGTTAGACGTTACACTAATTGATTATCTGCCATCACATAAATAGTCTAAAATCCACCATTAGTTTTACACATTAGTGAAATGAGGTTGGTAATCAGTAAAGCAAAAAGAGTGCTGGATTTATAGTCAGAAGACTGGGTTTACTGGACAACTCTATTGCTTGGATAAAATGACTTAACCTCCCTGAGACTCAGTATTCCCACCTCTAAATGGAGTCAGTAATATTCCTCACTCAGGACTGTTGTAAGGATCAAATGAAAAAACTTATGTGGAAGGACCTGATCCAGTTCCTGGCAAATAACAGTCATCAATATGAATCTACAGCATGAATGAACCTTGAAAACATTATGCTAAGTGAAATAAGCCAGAGAGGAAAGGACAAATATTGTATGATTCCACTTATGTAGTACTTACACTAGGTAGTTCATAGATGTTACCAGGGGCTGGGGGAGTGGGGATGGGAATGGAGAGTTACTGTTTAACAGGTATAGTTTCTGTTCAGGGTGATGAAATTGTTCTGGAAATACAGTATGAATGTACTTAATACTACTGATTTGTACACTTCAAAACGGTTAAAATGGTAAATTTAATTTTGGGGGGTGGGGTTGATTAGGTTTATTTAGATATTTATGTATTTATTAATAGAGGTACTGAGGATTGAACCCAGGACCTAGTGCATACTAAGCACACATTCTACCACTGAGCTATACCCTTCCCCGCTAAAATGATAAATGTTATGCAAGGCAAATTTACCACAATGAACAAACAACCCAGAGTGTCATCCTTGATTCCTAACTCAAGAGCTAAATCTAATCCATCAGCAAGTCTTAGTGATTCCACTACAACAATACCTGTAGCATTTGCTGATTCTACTTCCTCAAAGTCCTCACCACATCCAAGCCACTATCACCTGAGCTCAGTCATTCCAACAGTCCACCAGCTCCCTGCTTTCACCTTTGCACCTTTCGGTCCATTCCACATGTAACAGCAGCACAGCCTCTAAAGCCCCGCTGGTTACGTCTCCTTCGTACCTCTGACACTACGTCTGATGCTACTCCCCTCTGCCACACGCTAGTCTCTTTCACGTCCTCACTCTAACCCAAGTTCTTTCTGGCCTTGGGGTCTTTTCACATTCTACTTGCTGCTCCCTCTTCCTGGCCTACTTTTCCTCAATGTCTGGATCCTTCTCATCCTTCACGTTTCAAACATCACCTCCTTAGATCTTCCCTGACCCCTCTATCAAAAGTAGGTCCCACTCCTCACCAGTATTCTCCATAACATCAAACTCTTTGCTTCCATCAATGTACTAAACACATCTGTAATTATGTTTCTTGATGGCATAGGGCATCTGTCTCCCATAATTACGAGCATCAGGATGGCTGAGTCAATGTCTCTTTTAACACCGTATACCTAGTGCCAAGCATAAGGCTGACAGATAGCAGACATTCAAAAGATGTTTGTTGAGTAAATGATGGAGTCAAGTCCTCTAAAACTATTCTGCTGAGATTTTAATTGGGATTGAAGGTTAAGGGCAGGTTACTGAAGCATCTTCAAAACTGAGCAAAACAGTTCTGATAAATTAAACAAACAAACAAACATGAACCCCTGGCAGATTGTGGACAGAGCCATATCATGAAGTAAATGGCGATGGGGAACACTGGTCAAGTTGAAGGAAGAGCCTGCAATCTAGGTGGCTGTATTTTCTCCCCCCTTCCCTAGTCAGAAAGCAGAAGCAATGGCAAGTAACGACTCTGAAAGCAAACATTTGCTACTATAAAATAGGAAATTCTTGGAGACAGCCATGAATCCATCCTGCTCTTTGTTCTGAGAACCATTTCTCTTCTTTCCTCTTCATTTGTCTCTTACCTTTGTGTCTCGAGGTTGAAGTATAAATACTTGCAACCTCTTCCGAGTCGTTAATCTCTAGACGCTCATCATATGTCTGGTTTTCTACAATCTTGGTCTAAACCAAAGAAGACATGGTTACATAACTCCTATCACGGGACATTAGCTCCTATCACGGGACATTAAGCACTCTGTGGCGAGGTGGATTCCAAACCAGCCCTGGGTCCTCTTCCTTACCCAAGGCATCAGTTTTACATGAAACCTTCACCCCCATTCAAACTTTCCTTAAGGCTTCTTGGCCCCAGGTCCTTCCAATCGGCTGCAGCCCTTATTCAGGAACTGCTGGCAGGCTGGCTGAGGAGTGAGGGAATCGTGGAGAGAAAGGACACCCAACTTCTGCAGCAGCTCCCCAAAGCTGTAAGATACGTGCGCTAAGGCAGAACAGTATTTCCCCTGTAGATAGCGGCTCTCTCCTCAGGTTCCGTCAGTTTTCTCAAGGCTGCCAGGGTTTCTCAGGGGTGGCTGTAGGGGCTCTAGAAAGAGTTCTGTCTCTGGGGTCATTTCAGGGCGAGGGTGGGGGTGGGGGAGTTCTCCGAAGAGAGGATAAACTCCAGTCCCTCCGTCCCATCCAATAACCCCGAAAGCATCACCCTCACCTCCACCGCCCACGTCTTGTAAGTCGGATCCCACTTAGGTTTCTTGGGGAGTAAAGGAAGCAGGATAGTGGCTGATGGCGTGAAGGAAGGGGAGAAGGAACAGCTCTCATGAAGATGGGAAAAGATGGAGAAGGATTAGGGAGAGGGAGAGGGGGCCCTTTCTATTCCTCTTGGGAGGGAGAAAGAGAATTCTCTTTCTGCTAGGGTGGGTACGAATTACCTGTAGCCCTTCTGAATCCGTCTCCTCTATATGGAAAGTACCCCAGCCGAGGGCTGAGGTCTCACTCCAATCTCAGCCCAGGCCACTTTAGGGCTCCTACTTGGAGCAACCTGCCTGTTGTCAGTCGCTAAGCAAAAATAAATAAATAAATAAATAAATAAAAATAAAATCGCGAGACTTGCTTTCACTCTCGTGAGACCTTCTCCACTCACTCGCGCGTTACGTCTCTTCCAGCGAAGGATCCAAGGAGGATCGAGGGGTTCCGATAGGGCCTCTCTGGGCATTCAAGTCGCCTGTCTATGGTTTCAATAAATGCGTCGGTGGCGGCATCTAGCGGCCACGAGCGGCAAAGCTGATGAATTTCGGTTCCAATAACAGCCTTCCAGTCCGGAAAAACGGTCAAGGATCATTGGGCACGCAGTTCCTACTAAGTCAGTCTAATCAGACTTTAAGTTTGCGTAGAGTCCGCCGACGCTTTGTATGTCTTTTTATAGCATTTATATTACATTATAGTCCTTTCCCTGAACGGTGTCGAGATTACTAACAAATTTATCTAAATATTTATTATTCATCTAAGATTCAAATTTAACTCATTCCCCTGTATTTTTATTGCTAAAGAAGACTGCTTCTTTAGGGCACGGTCTGTGTCTAATTAATTTTTAAGCGTTCATAGCGTCAGTACATAGTACAGGCACTTTAAAAATACATACTGGGCGGATGAATGAAGGGGTGAGTGAAGATATAAAAGATAAGTATTTCAAAACTGTAGATATAGTTAACTTGGGGAGCCAGCAGGAGAAAAACAAAGGAAAGAATTTTGGAAATTTGATCCTGAAAACCTGCCAGAGAAAAGTGAAAAGTGGCTTTTAAAAGGAAAATCAGAAACACTTCTGGTTAAAAAGGGAACTGCAAAAGATTAAACAATATTTTGTCATCTGTTATTGCTGATAATAATGGATATGTATTGTTGAGCACTCAATATGTAGGAGCACTTAGAGTAGATAAAATTATTTATTATTACATTACCTAACTTCATAAATTTATGAGATAGATGTTACTGCCAATATACAGATTAGGTAATCGAGGTTTAGGAGAGCTAAAGTAACTTACCTAAAGTCACCCAAGAAGTAAGTGCTGAAAATAGTCAAACACAAGTCAGTCTAATTTCCAAGTTTCTGCTTTTAACCATTGTGACATACTACCTCTAAGGCACTCCACACGAAGCATGCTTGCAGGAGTACTTTTTTTCCCTGCAGTTTAATTCAGCTAAGGCCATATTTCCAAAGAATCAGCCTCAATTGGTCTTTGCTGAGCTTCAGTGGTTCATATTGAAGGCCCCTGGAAGCTGCCATGTTAAAGTAATAATTCAAGGCAGAATTTTTACTTTTTTTAAATTAAGAATTTGTTCTTTTTTTTAAAAGTGCTTTTAATAACAAGAATAAACAATACAGTTTGACATATATCCATCCAGACATGTACAGTTTAAAAGCTTTCCAGCTTTGTAAAGATTCTACTAGAAAGCCATTGGAAATGGAATTGAAATGAATAAGAGTTTGAATTCTATAATGCAGTGCTCAAGAGTGCAGGTTGAACACCCTTTGTTTGAATCCTGGCTTTGCTACTTTCTAGCCCTGAGACGCGTAGTAGAATAGTTTTCTTTGTACCTTGGTTTCCCCACTTGTAAAACGGAGGTATTAATGGTACTTATCTCTGAGAATTCTTGTGAGGATTAAGTGAGATAATCTGTGAAGAATTTAAAGTAATGCCTGGTACATTGTAAGTGTTCAGTAAACATTAAGGAAGACACACAAGATATAGAGGCAGCATGTCATAATGAGAAAAGCTCGGTTTGAATCCTGGCTCTGCTGTATGAGTTTGGGCAAGTGCTTAACTTCTTTGATCCTTAGTGTCTTTATCTGGATTGTTGTAGAGGATGAGAGATAACATGTATAAGGATCTGACATAAAATAAACACTCAATAAAAGATCACTGGTGATCCAATATTGCAGCAATAATGAATAGACAGTTGAGGTGTAGAGAAGAACTGCTGAATCACATATGCTCTGAGAAGTCTGACGTTTGGCATGAAAGAACTCCCAATACAATCAGAAGAGCAGATTTGAGTCTTGTTTCCGTTATATATTGGTCTAGAAATTTTGGCACATTTCTTAAACTTGTAATCATTTTCTTCATTTACAAAATAGACATAAGCACAGTAACTGCCCTTCTTCTTCCACAAATTTTTTTTAAAAGATGTAATTTACAAACCATAAAGATTCACCCTTTTAAAGTATACAATTCAGTAGTTTTTAGTATATTCACAAAATTGTGTAACTACCACTTCAATCTAATTCCATAGCATTTTCATCATTCTGAGAAACAAACCTCTCTCCCCATTTCCCCCTACCCCCAACCCTACTTTCTGTCTCTACAGATTTGTCTATTCTGAAAATTTCATATAAACGAAGTTATGTAAGATGTGGTTTTTTGTGACTGGCATCTTTCATTTAACATAATATTGCCAAGGTTCATGTTATATCATGGACCAGTACTTTATTCCTTTTTGGGACTAATATTCCATTGTGTAGATATACCACATTTTGTTATTCATTCATCTATTGGTGGACACTTGGATTGTTTCCACTTTTGGCTATTACGAATTATGCTTTTATGAATATTAGTGTACAAATTTTTGTGTGGATGTGTGGTTTTAATTCTCTTGGATATATGCTTAGGAATGGAATTACTGAGTCCTATGAGGTACCTAACTTTTTGAGGAAATGCCAAACTGTTAACCAAAGCAGCTGCACTATTTCACAGTCCCACCAGCGTATGAGGATTCTAATTTCTTCAAAATCTTCTCACCAAAACCTTTTTTTTTTAATTGAGGTACTGGGGATTGAACCCAGGACCCCAAGCATGCTAAGAATGAGCTTTACCACTGAGCTAAACCCAAACGCCTCACTAACACTTTCTATTGTAGCCATCCTAGTGGGGGTGGGGGTGGCTAGCAGTTCCCTAAGAACTAAAGATGCTGAACATGCTATGTACTTATTAGTCATCTGTGTATCTTCTTTAGAGAAATGACTATTTTGTCCATTTTTAAACTGGATTATTTGTCTTTTCATTGTTGAATCTTGAAGAGTTCTTTATATATTCTGGCTACTAGTTAGCCCCTTATGAATGCCGGTTTATTTGTATATTAAATGACAGAGTGGCTGTGAGAGCGTTAAAAATGCAAGACATGTCACAAATTAAATGAAAACGGTGATGAACAGTAAAGGAACAGAGGCAGCGGTTCCACGCTGGGGGCGACCCCCAGACCTCGGGGCACAACCGGACTCGCAGCCGGACTCCCACAGTCTCCCCACCCAACGGCGCCCCGCCCCCCGCCCTTTGACCCGCGCCGTTTCCTGTTGGAGACGTGGCTCGAGGCCGCCATCTTGGCAAGAGGCGAAGCGCTAGCGCTCCTGTCAGGGGGGTAGCAGGTCCGGAGCGGCCGGTGCTCCCCTTCCCCTGACCCCAGCCCTAGCAGCAGTGAAGCCGGAGCGCGGGTGCGCCCCACCACCGCCTTCACCATGGTAAGATCCGAGCCCGGCCCAACTCCTGGGCCGTCCGGCCTCGCTCGCCCGCTCTCCCTGCCGGCCGGCCTGGTGCTGGAGCCGGAGGAGCCCCGCCCCGAGGGCCCGGAGCCCGGCGCTTCCCGGGGGCTCTGGCAGCTGTGTGTCCTTCCCCCGACTGTGGCCGACCTCCCAGGAGATCCGAGGGACCTGACTCCGGTCTCTCGGTCGTCGCGCCCTCACCCCTCCCCCGCAACCAGCTGGGCACCCTCTCTGGGCCCCGGGCCCCGAGGTGGGCCCGGGGGGTTTGCTCTGCAGGAACCTCTTCGTGATGTTCCTTGGGCCCCAACCTTGCGGAACCTGGACGCTGGTGTCCAGTAGGTACCGTGGACGCCTGGGCTCAGCAGGCTGGGTCTCTCTCTGGAGTTCCCTTCCTTCTGCAATCAGATCATCTCTCATCCCCGGTGTTCGGCAGGCCATTGATCGAAATCGAAATCTGTTAGTGTTCAGGACTTTTATTTGTTCGAAAGGGAGAAACAGAGGAAAGTTCGAAAAGAGACATAAAACAGGAAGGAGTAACTTCTGGCACTAACTTGTAGGACTCAGGTTTTCCTGAAGCCTGCCACTTACTTCTGTAGGTCTTAACGTGTGTCCATTTGTCATTGTGATTGAAATATGCTGTGTATAGAGCATTGGGAAGATGTGAGTGAGTTATAGAGAACACAGGCTTTCAGTGTTCAAGGAACTTATTGTTCAGGTGAAGTGAAATGTGTATGTGGCCCATCGTCATCAGACGTCTCACGAGAGTGAAAAGAGGTTTATACTCTGGGACGTGTTACTTGCCTTTTGTTGCGTTATCTTTGTGTTCTCATCTGTTGTGGACAGGAAAGATTAAAATGCGTGAGGATGGGACAAAATACAGTGCTGACTCCACTAAATCTTGCTTTATCACTGTGATTTGTGGTTATTTATGAAGTAGGAGAAATTTTTTGGTTCCAAACTAGCAATTTATTTTTCAAATGGACTTTCTGCCTTTCAATCTTTTGAAGGATGTTCTTTTTAAAATTCTTTTTGTCAATAGGTTAATAACTTGATTTAAAGCATCTTCCTACACAGTTGAAAGATGACAATATAATTTGGTGCCAATCATGTTAAGTTCTGTTGACAATTTTTTTAGATGAGAATTTGGTTGGTGGGGGGATTCATTAAAGCTTAGGCTTTAAACCACTGAGAGGTTTTTTTCCAGCTTCAGGCATATAAATTGCATTAAGCAGATTTGCCTCATAAAACTTTTATGCTGGACATAAAATTTCCAAAAACTCCTTTCTTCATTTCCACTAGGAGACTTAGTATTTGGGTAGTGATTTTTAAACTCCTTTCCTTTTACATCCGGGATGTACTTGTAGTGCATTTCAGAGCATATTATAATTTTAACAGCAAAATTAAAGCCTTGTATTATATAAACCAAGTATAGATGATCTTTACAAAAACCTCGTTTGTTGAAAGGTTCTTGGAACTTAGTACTGTTTTTTCCCTCTAGTACTGTTTTTAATTCATCCATAACTAGAGGGATGGTAGAGCCCTAGGTGTTGTGGTAAACATAAAAATATAAATTTTGCCTGTTATT